TAGGCCATGTGGGGAACATAGCGCTAGCCGGCAGGAGACTCCCACACCACATGTGCCTATGGCAGAGGTTGCAGGCCGGTGTCTAGACAACTGTCCCGAAACTGCTTGTGTTAGAGTTTCACTAGACACCTCCCTCACAGGCGTGGCCGAAGAGTTGAAGGAGAGGAGGCCCGCCTGGGCCAAGATGAAGAAGGAGAATAAAGGGCGGCTGATTTTATTAGATGCAGAAATTTTTAGAAGTAGAGTAGGGGCCCTAGTAGACTCAAGGGCCACTCGCAGCTATATTAGTAAGAAAGCGCTGCAAAAGTTGAGGCTGGGACTTAAAAGTCCAGAAACTGACAGACCCCATAGTTAGTATCCTCGCGGACAATCGTACCATCGTTGTAGAGGATTACGTAGAGGGAGTCCAGGCGTATTTCCGCCTAGAGAAAGATGGGAAGGTGGAGAAGGTCCTCCACTCCCTGACTCTCCTCGTCGAGGACAGCCTCCCGTTTGATATAGTGCTGGGAATGGATTGGGGAGAGGCAGATGGGGCCACACTCCATTTGAAGGAGCACGAGTGTAGGCTCCCTAGTGCTACAGGCGAGGTTAAGACTGCCCGCCTGTTCCATGTGTCAGGAATAGAAAATTCATTGGCACATTGCTGCCTCAGTGCTCCTGCGTTCGCCAGATTAGTGAACAGGTCTTTGTTGCCTATGTTAGGCCAGTCACTGAGCCTAAGGAAGAGAAGCCCGTAGACCCTGCTATTGCCAAATTGCTGGAAAAGTTTAAGGATTTGACTGAGCCGCCAACAGGCACGGTGCCGCGGCCCATCCAGCACCGTATTGAGATAGAGCCTGGCAGTAGAACTCCTAAGGGTGTTGTGTATAGGATGTCCCCGCAGGAGTTAGAGGAGCTGCGGAAGCAGTTGGACGAGCTCCTTGAAAAGGGTTGGATTAGGCCCAGTTCGTCTCCTTTTGGAGCCCCTGTTCTCTTTGTCCCTAAGAAAGAGGGAGAGTTGAGGATGTGTATAGATTATAGGGGTCTGAATGCCATTACAGTGAAGAATGGTGAGCCACTGCCTAGGATAGACGATCTTTTAGATCGAGTGCAGGGGGCGAAGTATTTCTCCAAGATAGATTTGAAGTCCGGATATCATCAGATAGAGGTGCATCCTGATGATCAGTACAAGACAGCCTTCCGGACTAGATATGGGCACTACAAGTTATAGTGATACCCTTTGGACTAACCAATGCGCCAGCTACGTTCCAGCGCTGTATGAACGATTTGTTTAGGCCGTGGTTAGACAGATTTGTTGTAGTTTATCTAGATGATATTTTAGTGTTTAGTAGGACCCTCGAAGAGCATCAGGGTCATCTCAGGCACGTCTTGGAGAAGCTGAGGGAAGCTAACTTCAAGATCAATGCAAAGAAGTGCGATTGGGCAAAGACCCAAGTTTTGTACCTAGGCCACGTCTTAGACGGAGACGGCGTTAAGCCAGAAGATAGCAAGATCGCAGCGATTAGAGATTGGCCCACGCCACGTATGCTGGCAGAGTTGCGCTCGTTCCTGGGCCTAGCTAATTACTATAGGAAGTTCGTGAGGAACTTCTCCACCATCGCTGCGCCCCTTCGCAGATTGCTGAGGAAGGAGACCATCTGGAAGTGGGATAAGGACTGCACGTCTGCCATGAAGAAGTTAAAGCAGGCACTGATAGAGTATCCAGTCCTTAAAGTCGCCGATTCGTCCTTACCCTTTGTTGTCATGACCGATGCGAGTCAATACGGCATAGGCGCAGGGTTGCAGCAAAACAATGGCAATGGATATAGACCCGTAGAGTTCATGTCCGCCAGAATGCCTTCAGAGAAGGTCGCGACATCTACCTATGAGAGGGAACTCTACGTTTTCAGGCAAGCTTTAGACTACTGGAAGCACTACTTGCTTGGGAGGCACTTCAAAGTCTATTCTGACCATGAAACGTTACGATGGTTAAAGACGCAGGCCAAGATGACACCTAAGCTTACTAGGTGGGCCGCAAAAATAGATCAGTACGACTTTGAGCTCAAGCCTGTCAAGGGAAAGTACAACGTAGTTGCGGATGCTCTGAGTAGGAGGGCAGATTACTTTGGGGCAATAGTACATTACCTCGATATAGGGAAGGATCTGCAGCAGAAGGTGAGGGAAGCCTACGCGCAGGACCCTATCTATAGTGAGCTCCTCACGCGAGTTAAGGAGGCCCCAGAGACCGAGCCGAACTACCACACTACGGAAGGGTTACTTTTCGAGAAGACTAATGTCTTTGACCGGTTGTGTATCCCCAATAGTGAAGAGATCCACAATTTGATCTTGGGAGAATGTCATGACACAGAGGGTCATTTTGGTTGGCTGAAAACTTTAGCCAATCTGATGCGCACGTATACCTGGCCAGGGATGAAGAATGACTGCGTAGAGTATGTCCGCAGTTGCAGAGTTTGCCAGCGTAATGAGACCCGTACGCGCGCCCCGTTAGGTCTTCTCAGACCCTTACCCATTCCGGACCAACCAGGAGACTCAGTGTCCATAGACTTCATGGACACTCAAGTCAAGAGCAGGCATGGCAAGAGCCAAGTCATGGTCATAGTAGACCGATTTAGTAAGTACGCAGTCTCTGTTCCTTTGCCTTAAGAGGCACGTACTGATTTAGTCATACAGAGATTTTGTGACTGTTGGGTTAGTGAGAATGGAATCCCGCTGTCAATAGTTAGCGATAGAGATAGTCGCTTTACCAGCCAGAACTGGCAAGAGCTCATGGGAGTGTATGGATCTAAGTTGTTGATGTCATCTAGCCGTCATCCAGAGACTAACGGTCAGACAGAGCAAATGAACAAAATCCTACAGCAAGTTCTGCGCATGTACATTAGGCCAGATCAGATTAACTGGGATGAGATGTTACCTAAGGTAGTTAGTGCATATAATAACAGTGTGCATCTGTCCACCTGCCGCACTCCCAACGAACTGCACAAGTCCTTTAGGCCCGGTAGACCATTTGAAGGACTTAGCCGGGATCAGATTCACAGATTGCCACCCGGGACCAGGGAGTTTGCTGTGCAACACGAGAAAGAACTAGCTACTGTAGTAGAGAACCTCAGAAAGGCCCAGCACAGGATGATAGAGCAAGCCAATAAGCATCGTCGCCCCTCACAGTTTCAAGTAGCCGACTTAGTCTGGGTGAGTTCTAAAGAGTTTGCACCTGAGGAGAACATCTCGCAGAAGTTACTGCCCACCTATAGAGGATCGTGGCCAGTCTTAGAAGTCAAAGGCGGCGAAGATGGACCGTCCTATACCATAGAACTCCCAGCACACCTCCACACGTATCCAGTTTTCCACGCATCAAAGTTGTTACCGTGTCAAACAAGTGATCAGTTTCCATCCCGCAGGTCCATGATCCCACCGGATATGGATGGAAGATACGACATTGATGGAATAGTGGCTGAAGATGTATTCAGGACTGGAGGTAGGGGTCGTCCACAGAAACAGTACAAGGTTCACTTTAGTTATCAAGAACCGGAGGACGACCGCTGGTTTACAAGGTCTGAACGTCTAGAGACAGCTCCCGATATAGTCCGAGCCTACGAGAGACAGCAGAGGGGTAAAGATCCTGCCTTGGACTGAAATTTTCTCGGAGGACCTCGAATTTAGGACGGCGGGAGTGAAACGGTTTTCACCTTTTAGCAGTGGCGGATGCAGTACCCAGGGTTCGATCCCTAGACCTYATCCTACCCATGTACAGTATCTGTGTAGACCCCGAGAATTGAACCTGTGACCTGTGTATTCGTAGGCAGTTGGTAGGCCTGTCGTAGGTCCATAGGCCGYAGGGGTTCGATCTGTAGGTCTATAGCGTAGGAGTCTTAGTGAGTTCCGGAAGCTTAGCTGTAGACCTTCTAGAAGGTAGGCAAGTGGGCAAGTGGKCAAGTGGTGAGGCAAGTGGTGGACTAAACCGGAGTGCAACAGCAGTACAACGTCGGTAGGATAGCGGTGAGTCCACAGCCAGTCAGCGGAGGGTCCAGTCAGTCCCAGTCCGGTCCAGCAAGTACCACAGGGGGACTGCGAGCATCAAGGGCCGATGGCAAAGGGCAGACCAATGAGTTTCTGAAGTATAAATCAAGAGGCAGCACCCAGCCATTCATTCAGTCCTGTGTGAGCCATGCGGAAGCGCTGCCACGGCGACTTGTGCACGGAGGTCTGCAGATGAGCCCGGAGGACGCTGAGGGCTAGAGAGAGGGAGTTAGCATAGCGATAGGTTAGAAGCAGCGACAGCTGCCATAGCTGTAGTTAGTAGTGAGTGTGTGTGTGTGTCGCRTGTAAGTGCAGAGTGTTGCGTGTGGGACATCCAGGGTGATCCAGAGTGCGAACAGTGAGTTGTGTGGGCACACAGTCGCCATAGCCAGTTGGAAGAGAACTCTTATCTGGTTACGATATCTTCGAGTACTGTGTGGGCGCATGTCGCCAGTTTGCTGTTTCGCTGTTTGCATGCATGTCGATGTGTGACTAAGTCGAGGCTGATTGCACTGGTATCAGAGCTTTGTTGTCTCCCTCCAGCCCCCCATCAGAGGGGATGCATGTTGCCCCCCGCCCCAACCGTGGTGGTGAAGGATGGGGTGGGGCCGCCGGTGGGGGCCCGGCTAACACAAACACTGAGCATTTTGGCAGTAGTAGCTGCGCCTCCCTTTTTTTCATCGTCCCCCACCCCTCATTGAGTAGCAGCAGAGGTTATGGCCAACACTCTCCCACGCACCACACGCAACCCGCTCACACTCACACTCACACCCGTGTTGGCCAAGGACCCCCCTACTAATGCCGATCGGAGGTCTCAAGCGGACTATGACCGCTGGTTGGCACTAAGTGCGCCACAGGCTCTTACGGGACTTGAACCCACAACCTCCTGAGTGCCATTTGCATGCCTAACCAACTGAGCCAGGCCGCTGGATTGGTTTATGAGATCTCTTATGGGGCCCAAACCCACAACCTCCTGAGTGCCACTTGCATGCCTAACCAACTGAGCTAGGCCGCTGGATTGGTTTATGAGATTAAACCACCAGTACTTCCTAAAGTCGTGCCCGTTAACAAACCACAATTTTAGGAAACGTACTGTCCACTACAGGAGCGTCCAAATTCATCCAACTAGAAACATTTATTTACTCTATTTTTTTTCCCATGGCCTATAGCTAGGCCACGTACTGGTGGTTTAAGAGAGATTCACACTGTGGTTTAAGAGAGATTCACACTGTGATCAATAACGAGGATCAACAACCAACAGTATCTCTCAGTCCGTAAAAGTGGGACTTTGGCCTTGGAAAGGGACAGACAAATCATCAGTAGTCATATACACAGCTCAACTACCATCTTCACCCGAATAGAACGCCCGGTCATTATAGCTGTATTTGGCACAACTTTCAGCCCAGGTACGGTGATAATTACCGGGCATTCTATTCGGGTGAAGACGGTAGAAGGCCCCGTATCTCCTAACCCCTAAAAGTGGGACCTTGGCCCTGGAAAGGGACAGACAAATCCTCAGTAGTCGTATAAACAGCTCACCCAGTAGTCACCATATCTCCTCGTCCATAAATCCATAAAATTGGGACCTTGGCCCTGGAAAGGGACAGACAAATCATCAGCAATCATATATTATATGATATAAAACAGCTCAACCAATAATCACCATATCTCCTAATCCAGCGGCCTAGCTCAGTTGGTTAGGCATGCCGCACGCAAGTGGCAGTCAGGAGGTTGTGGGTTCAAGCCCCATGACCGCCTGCGGCGCACTTAGTGCCAACGAACTGGGATAGTCCTCTGGATACTCCTGATCGGTATTAGTGGAATCTATGACCAACATGGGTGTGAGTGCGAGCGCGAGTGGGTTGTGTGTGGTGTGTGGGAGAGTGTTGGCCACAACCACTGCTGCTACTCGATGAGGGGTGGGGGACGATGAAAAAGGGAGGCGCAGCTACTGGCAGGTCTCGGTCTTTGTGTTAGCCAGACCCCCACTGGCGGCCCCAACCCTATACCCTAAACATTAGGGGCAAGGGGCAACATGAAATCTCCCCTTCACAGTGAGAGGAAACTATGCTTGCAGGGGTCCCCTCTAGATAGCCTTAGGAGTAGGTAGTGAAAGGCAAACACAGAAGTTGAGAGAAGAATATAGAAAGAAAGAAAAAAAAAATGATCCGTAAAAAATAATAATAATAATAATAATAATAATAATAATAATAATAATTAATCCGTAAAAGTGGGACCTTGGCCCTGGAAAGGGGCAGGCAAATCATCAGTAATCATATAAACAGCTTCAAGTTGGAGAAAACTACCCTCTCCACCGGCACAGAATTGACGGTTGTTTTTCGTGGTGTGTCTAGAACAGAAGTTGCCCTTCATACAGCAGTGATAATGACTATAAGGCGGGAGGAGAAGGGGAGGAGGGGAGGGGAGGGGAGGGGAAGGGGGGGGAGGGGAAGGAGTAAGGGGATTTCAGGTGGGGTTTCATCCGCGCCCAACTCCCACTTGGCCAGTTTCTTCATCTCTGTTCTGGCCGCTGATCTGCATTCCTGATCTACGCTTCAAAATGGATGGAGAGTCTGGGGAAGCGCGGACCTCGCTGCAGGTACGTCACACTACCAAGGACGATGACGTACCAAGGAGGATTGGACTAAGCGCCTACAGAGACGCAGAAATGCAGGTCAATCGCAATTTTCTGTACCTTCCTCGCACACCTGGGGCAGCGAAGGCTGATGAGCACGGAATGGGTGCGCAAAAAGAATCCTGCAGCTGCAGATCTGAAGTTCTGAGACATCCACTAGCTTGTGCAATTGCTCTCTCTCTCTCTCTCTCTCTCTCTCTCTCTCTCTCTCTCTCTCTCTCTCTCTCTCTCTCTCTCTCTCTCT